TAGATCATCCCACAGAATTACTATACTGGTATTAAGAAGGATGGCAAATGTGGAACAAATCACATTCTGAATCTCCTCCATCACTCCAGTCTCTTAATGCACTGGACGAAAAATTCCATAATTTAAACAATCTTATGAAAGGATAATACCTGTACATATTCAAAACAAGAATAAGTTAGAATAAACTACCGACACAAAACAACAAAGTTCATTTGGCGCCCACGACCAATAGACAAAAAAAACTGTAGTAGTCAACTGTAGCAGTCACTGCAATAGAAAAAGACAGAGACCTACTATCAAAAATACTGCAGCAAGTACTATAAATAAAAATTTTACTGTATACTAAGCGAAAACTGTACAGAGCTACTGTTTATAAGTTAGAATTTTTCTATTTAAAGCCTCATTGTAACGAAGCTCGATGAGGCAAACCTGGCCACAAGCAACATAAATCTGTGTTTTTCGGCATAACCCATTGCCCATAGAATCACTGCCACTTCCCCAGGTTCAAGACGACACCGTCCTTCCTTCTCTTCTGCAGAGCCAGCCGCCAGAGATGGGATACATTCTGCATTCAGTCACTACATAGATAAGACAATCCACGCCAATTTTTGGTTCTTAAAAAACAAAGCTGAAAAAAGTAAGTCTTTCTAAATCACCTTACACCGTCGAGGCCATTCTTTTTCTCTGTATTCTGCCATTCTAGCTTTCTCCTCCCTATTCCCAACAATATCACAGAATGATAGGCCCACCATCCCTTTCTCAAACCTAAGATGTAAAACCCTGAACGAAATGAACTGTTAGTTAATCTGGAGTTAAAATAGCAGCAAAACAGAGTCTTAACTGAAACTGTTTCGCACATGTAGGGATTTGGACTTCCAGTGCGATTTCTCATCCTTGAGACCAATGAATCTGCCATTTGTTCTATCTCTGGAAGAAATTTAAGAGCATGATAATTGACCCTGCATCTTAGCCTGTTGATTTCTGGAGGGACATTATCATACCTGAAGCAATACCCAAGAGGAATAGAAAAGGAAATACAGAGGAGTATAACAGAATTAACAACCCAAGCCCAAGTTTCTTATCTGAAAAACAAACTTTTGAAAGTAGCCATGATGCATATCTACAACATTCATGACTTACCCGAGTCTATCAACAAAAGGTTTTGGGGCCATTATCTTCTACTCAGATCCGAAGTAGCATATTGTCAATGTAAAATTGCGCTGGTGCATATTTTGGAATGTTCTTCACTGTCCGTCTATTACACATCACAAAATCTCTCCATGAAAACAATTCCAGTTGCAAAAAGTTGGAATAAATGTCTATAAAAAACTTTCTATTAATTCTCGAATTCTCATGTCACGTTTAAAGTACAGAGACATCATTACCCAATAAGCCTATGATTTAATGACTACAAGCTCAATGCAAACTATGATGCACATCTAGTAAGATGAAAGTGTACAGCCGATTATTCTAACATATATTAAATAAGACATAAGCAACATACTATTCTAACATTATCTTTTTAAAGACAACTGGCAACAAGTTGTCATTGGTTCCAAAATGAAATAAAATATTTAAAAGGTCAATATATCAGTTAATCTAAAATAATGGAATGAAAATTTCTAGTATGTTGTCTATTAAAAGTCATTATGAAAGATGTCCCAATCATTCAAAAATCCAGAGGACCCACATCTCCCCGACCTCTAGCTTTTGTGTCTCCAAGGACGTCATGCCAATAATAAAGTCATAATCACAACATTGAGGAAAATCATGATGCCATCGTGATTGAAGCAAATCCATAGAAGCAAAGTGCTTCTAAATTGACAGTTGAAATTTGGCTAATTATAATTGCAAATCCAGCAGAGAGGCAACATAGAGAACTATAAAAGAAAAATCACCTTGTAAATAATTTTGATTTGTCAGTTAACCACTCAGGTATGTCACGGACAACTCACACATCATCCTTCAAGTAGTCAATGAAATGATCAACATAAAAAATGTCAAATTTCCTGCACATAATTTGACAAATACGTTACAAACAGCAGGAACTGGGGTTGTGGCAGTTAGATAATAAGTAATATAATAAAGTGATTTACTTAGGTTCATGAAGTGATTAGCTAGCAGTGAAAGAAGCTCAGAATTTTCACAACCTATAGTTAGCTTATAGCTTGAAATTTCAGTTCAATGCAAGAATATATTTAATCTTGAAGTTGTGCTATTTATGCTATTTATATCTGAAACTTGACAGCTTCGCAAGAATATAAAACAACCTTAATTAACTTGAATAAAGAAACAATTATAATGCACCTAGAAATTTCAATTGTTAATTAATGGGTAGGAATTTTGATGTTAACATACCTACATTATTCCATATAGATTTAGGCATCATTGGAGCTTTAACATCATTTAAAATGAGAGACACAACGGCACTATGGTTCAAACAATAATTTAATTCCAAATCCTTAAGTCTTAAGAAAGATAATCTTTAGAAGACAATCTTTAGTTCAACATGATTTGTATGTATTATGGTTGGGAACCTCTAGTATAATAATTAAACAAGTCTTTTTGCTAAACTAATAATGTCAGTCACTTCTCTTTTTTCCTAATATTTATTTATTCTTTTTGTCTATGCATATGACTGCTTATGCTACAATGTTTAGAACAATCATGTGCACAAGACCAACTGCATGCATGAGGTTATTGGACAAGAAATCTCACGTTTGGTCTTTCCAATCTGGTCCTACTTCAGCACTGCCAACATAAGAGTAGCATTCACAATTTTTGTAATAGCCACTGCATTACGTATCTGCATGGAATATGCAATAAATTCATAAGTTTGTTGATGGCAATTAAAGATACCAAATCAGTAGAATTTTCACAAATCATTCAGCCAAAGCTCCATTTTAAGGACGGTTATAAGGTGTTTGGAAATTATAAAGCTAGCATATAACCAAGATTAAGATAAAAAAAAAAAAAAAAAATTCATGACACAACCAAGAAGCAAAACTACATTCAGGAAACATTTTATTTACCAATTCTCATCTTAGGCACTGATAAGCTTATAATCATCTTTGTTATTTATTCATATCAATTACTGGTGTCGTACGAATTTACACGTGCTCCAAAAGAAGTCCCTAGGACACAATAGGCCAAGCAAAAGTCAACAAAATATTGTAATTTTAAACTCTCTATTTCATAGGTTTTAAGTTACAGTCATCAAGGATAGAACATAATTCATCACAACACTTTTGAATTGTAAGGTAAGGCAAGATCTTTTTTTTTTTTTAATTTTATTTTTCAAATTCCAAGCCAGTGATGCTAAATATAAGTATCAATACTTGATAATTCAATCAGATCAAAAAGACTTGTGACCTCCTTCCAACTACTTAAGATTCATTTGAAATATAAAAACAGGAAAAAGAATAAGAAAACAACTTTGGTGAAACCAGAGGAAAAGAATCCATACTGCATTTCTTTGCTGATTTAGACCACCCTCAGCATGAATAAATATAAAACCACTTGTTTGATTCTCAGGAGGAAGGTCTGCAAAATGTTTAAAATAGTGACTAAATTTAGCTGTGATAATATGAACATGAAAATGAAACAACTTCATAACACATATCAGGAATGTAATTGTTAACATATCTGAAAAAGTTTAGAGCAATCTAGTCCTTTATGACCATAGCCGACAACTCAGCACTCCTCTATCTTGAGAGGATTACTATGTATACAAATTGTAGAAGCAAGCCATATGATAATATAACCCTCTGCTAAACTGCTCTCCTCCAGCCCGTAACACAAGTTAGGTGTTAGAACATACATTTGGAAGAAACAAACAATTTCTTAAATGCATTGCAATGTGGGTAATAGCAAATACAAAGTAATAAAAAAAAGGAACCTATTCATACCTGATATTTCCACCATCAGGGCGCTCAGCACAGGGCTTCCAAGAAGTAGTTGCAGAGAAAGGATTCTCCCAAAGTGAAGAATTCTCCTTAACCTAGGAAACATAAAACAGAAGTTACAAATGGCAGAAGCCACCAATACAACGGGACATAAGGAAAATAATAACAATCAGAACAAGATTCATTAGAAACTTACACGTGGACGGTGAAGAAAAATGCCATCTTTTTTACAAAAATACGGGAGATTCTACAAAAAATTAACATAGATATTAGTATTAGATAAACAAACTAAAATCCAGGAAAAAGTTGGCCTCACAATTTCCATTAAAAAAAAAAAAGAAACTCCAATAAGCTAAACTTTAACTACACTTAACCCGCTAGCTCACTCCAATTAATTTTTTTCCAAAAATTAATAATACTATTATTTCAAAAAATAAAAATCATTTAAAACATGTAATTCCTATGCAACATAAAAAAGAAAAAAATCTAGAAAAGAAGTACTCAGTAATCAAACTATTTAATAAAAAAATTGATTGCTTTCTTACTAATCGATGTAAGATCGAGAAAATGGAGATCTATCCCGCAATGGCAACGAAAAGGAGCAAGAGAAGAGAGATCCCAGAGCCGTGTTGAGAAACCCTAAGATCATCGTTAAAGAAAGGGAAAAGGAGTGAATTGGCGACCAAAACAAACGGTCACGATCTCGTAAAGAATGGCAAGGGTGATCTTCGTCGTCATCTTGAGGGATTGATCGTGGATAAGACGAGAAGCGTCCTCGTCGCGTTTCATTGGAGAAGAACAGGCTTGGCTCCCGAGCAAGCTGCACTAGTGCCTTAGCTCAGCCATGGCTCGCTTCGGACTATAAGCCAGCTTTCTAAAGCTCTGCTTCCGCCTCTTCGACTCGGATTTTCGTGACTGGCGTAGGTAAGGGATTGGAGAGAAAAAAATTGAAGTTCTTTCAGACTTCCTATGTGAAGTGTCAGATCAAGTTGACGTCATCGAAAAACGTCAGTGAAAATACTCCATTAATGAAGGGTATTTTAGTCATTTTATATTTTAAAAATAACAATAAAATTCAAAAGGTAAACCCTAATGAAACGGCGGAGAGAAAGAAAACGGAAATCCCAAATCGTACCGAAAGCAAAACGCTATTACAGAAATGAACGCGATATCGAGGCAAGTTAGTACGGCTATCTTTGCTCCGGCGAGACAGGGGGTTAACTGGCTGAGTCATGATCCGATTCAGGTTCAGCAATGGAGAGGGATAAGGGTGAAGGTAAGAAACGGGAACTTGGAGCAGGCGTTGGCGGTGATGCAGAGGGCGATGCAATCGAGCGGAGTCGAACGGCTGATAAAGCAGGAACAGACTCATCACGTTAAGAATTCGGAGAAGCGAGTTTTGGCACGCAAGAATTTGGAGCGTAAGATTCGATCACAGGACCTCGCTCGCAAGCTCCAAACCATCCTCATCAAGAAAGTCAGGTACTTGAGAATTTTTTTTAGTTCCAAAAATCTCGAATTTCTTTCTCTTAATGCTCTAAGGTTTTGGATAGATTTAATAACATTTGCTTAAAAGCTGTCCTTCCTGTGAAATATTTTCTTTGTTTGCTGACATCCACTGAAGAATCTTTCCTCTGTTTCTTGTTTTGCATTTCTTTCAATGAGAACATAGTAAAATGGCCATGTCTCTGTTACTGATTACTTTGTTTGAATATGCAGGGGTCTGTGAGGGCAGCTTTGGTGTAGTTTGTTGGTAATTTTGCCAAAAATTTTCATTTTCTTATGGAATTCAAGGGTCATGCAAACCTTTTCTTCTTTTTTTTTTTGGATAAACCTGATCAATTTGGCATTTGAGTTAAATGTAGTCTTTTGGTGATACAATCATATCTTTTGCATTGAAATAATTATTATAAACATTGAGCCATTGATTTTATCAGTGATTTTAATTTCACCGATGCTAAACTCACTATCCATCCAGACAGAGCATGAGTTGTGGCTTTTCTCCAGCCATGATCACATATTGTATTATTCCCTTGAGCATGAATTGTAAGATTGTTGACCCTGGTGACTGATTAGTGCTTTTGTTCATTCAATCTGTGTGTATGTAAAGCATGTGTATGCATGCATCTCTCAAATATCAATAACTTGTATGCAATTGGGAAAACTTTGCAATCCCTTCTTCATTGTAGTTTTCTTCTTCTTGAAATGCTTAATTTCAAATTTTCTACTACTCTTCAAAGCAAATGCAAATTGTGGATTTCCTTAGCAATGATGACGGGGTGTGTTTTTATTATTATTTATATATTAGTTTTTGTTGTTGTGTGTTTTGAACTTTGAATTTTTTTTAAATTTATTTTTAAATACTAATAAATACTTAATAATTGTAGTTTGGACATTAGATTGCATATTTTCACAAAGACTTGAAACTAATAAAGTATATTAATCAAAATTTGAATTAACATATAATGTTTGTCCACGTACAAAAATATATAATATGAACAAAAATTTTATTTTTTTTAGGTTAATATTGAAATCAAATGTTTTTGAGTTAAACAAATAAAGATTTTTGGACAAAAAGGTTGAACTACATGTACGGTTTAAGTAATGTCATACATTAAATTATTTTACTAGCGTGTCATTTTTGTTGACGTGGTAAAGCTCTAAATGTGTCATTTCATTAATGTGGCAATGGTGTTGCCCACTTGTTAAATTTGGATAAAAAAATGTTTAAATTGTAGTTTAAAAAAATTAATCCCAAATTTTAACCCTAAGTCCGTAATTAACTTATAAAAAAATTTCTCTCTACTCTACTACCCGAGTTGAAGAATTCGACCCAGACACAACTGTTGTAATTGTAAACCTACAGGTCACATTTAATGAGCAACATGAAGCTGATTACCAACAAAAAACACCTCGCTCCAATCCTGTTAACCAAAATGAGGCCAGATTAAGATATCCGAGACGTCAAACATAGTCCAGCGAGATTATCAAAGACGAAAAAATTGAAGTGTTCTATCGATTTGATTAATTCAATTATAAAAATTTGAAAACCAATTAAACCAATTTTATGTATAAATTAATTTGAACGTAAAAACTCAAAAACACATTAAACCGATTTATACATCGGAAAACCGACTTCGTGTAGACACACGAACAAAATTATCAATATCACTTTATCTGTCAAGTACCAGATTCAGCAAACCTCAACTTTCTGTGTCGTAGATTTGATGATTGGGCCGTAGCCCAAGGCAAATTAAGTAATCCTCAACCCATTTTACTGTTGGATCAATCAACCCGCCCAAAAAGTTATCATCTGACCCACATCTCTGGTGACTTGACAGTCGACGGTCGCAAAAGCACGGTTGATTTAGAGGAGCCACGAAACCCTGCCAGAGGGTTTAAGAAACGAAGGCCAAATAGCAAGCTACATTTGATTTTTCTGCAAATTTCGCAAATGGAGAGGGTAAGGCTCCGTTTGGTGTTTGAGGATCGCAAAGTTCTGAGCAAGTCGCAGAAGAAACATGGACTAAAGCGAAGCTGGATTCTCCTTAAACCCCAACACCAAACCATCTTCGATCTTTCCTCTCATCTTCTCCACATTTTCCACCTCCGCAAATCTTGCCCCAGTGGCCTCATCCTTTCCGTAAGTCTCTCTCCCTCTTCATGCCCTAATTTATGATTTCTTGTCTTTGTTACGCCATTAATTTTTCATTGCAGATGGACGGCTTTGTTCTGCCACCTTTCGAGTCAACCTGTATTTTCGAAGATAAAGATATTATCAGGTCAATTTATTTATAAATAAGATTGTTTTCTTTTTCTGTAATGTGTGTGCTTTGTTTTATAGTACAATTATTTTTGTTTAATATGAAAACAGTGTGAAGAAGAAAGGAGGGAAGTCGACTGAGATTATTGAGGTAGGTAACGGTTTGAATTCTTTGGAAGAATTAGAAATAGTAGAACAATTGCCAGCGAACACCGGCGTGAAGCTTCTAACCAATGAGGAATTCGATAAGGAAATTGGGGAACATGAAAGTGAACCGGAAGAAGATGAACAGGAACTTGAACAATTGGAGAACCTGGCACAAGTACAAAGCTCACCAATTGATAACATGGTTTCGAAGAAAAGAAAGGCACGGGATAAACTTCCTAGCTCTAGGTAAGTTACTCTATCCAATCTCATTAAACCTTGTTCCTTTATTGATTTATTTGATACTTGCACTGGTAATTGCTTATTATCTTGATTTTGGATTTTATACTACATTTTACCAAAAAAAAAAATTATTACATTTATATTCAGGAGGAAGAAATCTAAATTGGCTAGAGCTGAAAAATCTCCTGTTTCTGAAGATGATGGAATTTATGTCCATCCCAAGAAAAGCAAAAGCTCTCGTCAGAAAACTGTTATCCCCAAAGAAAAGGTTGTTGAGGAGGATAAGCCAGTTGACATACAGGGGGAACCAAAGAATTCAAGCAGCCCTGAAATTGATGAAAGTAGTGATGATGAAATCAATGTGGGGAGGTAATTTCTATCCTGCTAATGTAGGTGATTACAAAATATTATAATAGGGAGAGAGATTGAAAATCTTGCCTGGAGTTTTATATCCCTCATTTGCAATGGTTTTGGTTCAACTTTTGGGCCAAATGCTCATGTGTGGATTAACCCAAATATCTTCTCTTGTCTTTGCTTCTCTTATTGGCTTGTGGAAGGGAATTTCTTCATTTGCTCGTTTCTGTTTCAGGTTCTCCCAGCTTCAAAAAACTAGCAAAGGGACTGTTGATGTATCTCAGACAACTAGTGAAGCTAATAAGGTTTTGATTGACATTATTGTTTTGAATGGAATGGATTAGTAGTCCCTAGTAAGAATTATTAATGTCAGAGATGGAAGCATAACTTTTAGAAAATTGGTTTATGAAGTTGTTTAGTGTTCATGAAGAGTCAGTATCATAGTTAGTATGACCAATAAACTGAAGCCCATGCATCTAGCTAATGCACACAACCATGTCACATAACGTGGTTAGATGTAGATGATTAGTGTTCCTGGCATGGAGTTTTGAATTTTACTTTTTTGATTGCTTGATAATATATAGTTTTCAGTCTTGTCAACTGATCTTGCTTGCTTTATTACTTTATCCATATTTCAATTCCTACATCACCGTAACTTCTGTTTAATTTCTTACTGTTCAGCTACCTAGTAGAAGTGCACGACGTAAAAAGGCCAAAAGGCGATGGTTGAGGGAGCAGGCCAAAATTGAAAAGGAAAAGGTATATCCGTCTTTAGAAATATTGTGTAGTTCTTTTGGGCTTTTAAGGCCAAGATTTTAGGTCTACAGACAAGCAGGTCTAGTAATGAAGAAATAATGTTCACATGTCAATTATTGAAGCTGACAACTCAGATTTCTTCTAGTTTACCATAGATGACTGAGTAATATATGCGCTTTTTCTGTCTTTTGGTCCTTATATGTTTAGTAAACAGATTATACATGGATGTAATTGAGAGTTGGAGTGATTTGTCCTTGTTTATAGTAAGGTAAAGATCAAAGGTTACAGCTTACATATTCTAATATATGAATGTGTGCAGCTGTTTGTTTACATTATTTCTTACACTGTTAGCTAGGCCATAAATTTTAAACTAATAAAGCACATGTATGGTTTGTTTATCTTTAGCTATATACCTTAAGAAAAAAGAAAACCACATCATCAACTTTGATGATAATTATGTTTCATCGAATTTGCAGGTGCATTCAAAACAGCTTCCTGGAAAAGATAATCAGCAATCACTTGCAAAAGATAATATCAAAATTTCTGAAGAACATCTACAGCCAGTTATTAATAATGAAGTCGAGGATAATGTGGTTCCAATAGTAGTTAGGCCAGGACATATTCGCTTCGAGCCCCTTGAAAAAGGTATTGGCTCTATATCTTTCTGGTTCTTGAGGCTTGTTTGGGTGATATTAGACTTTTATAATATGGAATTGCCTCATAAAGCTTGAGACATGATTTATGATTTGTCTGACATTTGTTCTTGTTTTCCAGAAGATGCAGAGCAAGCTGTCCAACAAAGTCAAATTTCAGTGGTATGTTTCATTGCTAATTTTATAAAGTTTGTGGCCTTTATTATGGCTCCATATTTTTTGAGATATTGGTTTGGGGAGGTGGGCTACCCAGCAGCACTTAAGGTTCAGAGTGAGGGTGGGCAAAGAGAGTATCTCCATTAGGTGGTGATTTTATCTTGGAAGGAGGAGGGGAAAGGGGGGATTTGCAGGGTGCAGGTGTTCTTTTGGCTATATCATACTATATTTTTTGCATTTTTCAATTTACATATATCTGCATAGCTTATTTTCCTTTCTTTCCAGGTTCAGTGTTTACTTTTAAAGAGAGGAAAATAGAGCTAATTTAACACACCCTGCATTTTTTCCAAAACAGTGCGTTATTGTTGTATTCATCCTCGTTTTGAATATTTCTCAATCCAGTTCATCAGTTTGTAGATGCATTAACATTTTCCAACATGGTTTTGTATGTCTTCTATGTTTTCATTGATGCAAATTTTGTTGTTTGGCCATTGCCAGAAAACCTTTCAATGGAATGGAATAACCAGCAAGAAGAAGGGTCAAAAATGGGGCAAGGAGAAAACTTCCTTTCTGAAAAGGAATGATGATAAAAGTTTTAGCCAACTGAGTTCTGAAATGGTGGCTGTTGAGGAAAAGGCTACTGTAACTGATGACATGGACTTTGACAAGCTTATGACCTATTCTAGCTTGCCTAAGGTTCTTCTCTCTCTCTCTCAATTCTTTCCATGAGTTGAATTTTCTTTTCTGTGAGAAAGGTAGCATAGTGACTTTATATTCTTATAGACTAAAACAATCAATTAATATTTTGTTAACCTTCTAAGTATATCGTGTTACTATGCCCTATATTTGTCTCTTATTAATGTTCTTCAGAGATAGAAGCATTAATGGTTTTTAATAATGCAGGAGGGCGATTTAGTTGCATATCGCTTAGTTGAGCTGTCATCATCTTGGACCCCTGAGCTTTGCTCCTTTCGAGTACTCCTCTTTCTGAATTTTAGCTGTTTTATAGTTCCTAATTTTATTGACATTGAACTTTGTATTTACCTAATTATTCTGCCTATAGGTTGGAAAAATATCAAATTATGATGCTGAATCCAACAGGATTATGCTGACACCAGTTCCAGAATATCCAAATTCTTTTGAGAAGAAGATAGATGAAGAGGCTACTGAACTACCAGATACATCTCTTTATGGGGAAGATGGCTTATTAGAGGTATGTAAACTGGAATTATATACTCTTCATTTGATCAGGGATTCCTTTGTTTTTCTGTGTCCTTTGTGTGTTCTTTTGACAACTTAGGTATTCAAGCCTGCAAAGTAGGTAGTCAGTATTCAGCTGAGGCTTTCCCAATCCTTGGACTTGTTTTTGTGCTACATCTTGTGCTTTTGGAAACTTTTTATGTATGTTGAATGAACATTTTGATAAGTCAAATTCTCATAGCAGGTTCAACTATTCTGTGAACCATGTTATCTGGAAATTATGAGATATTGATGCCTGCCCCGTAAGTTATTCAAGGTTACAGGATCAAGAATGTCTTTAATTATAGTTGTCTATTATAAACAGAACTATGGCATCTTGGGACCCCCATATCTGTAATTCATGTCCATTGTAAAATTTAGGTTCCATGCCTGAGTTCCAGCTGCTGTTTTATTCTTCTTGTTTTTGTGCTTTCTTCTGAAGTGCAGGAAGCTAACAAGCAAAGCCTTTTTATATTTTCAGATAGATTATTCCTCACTAATTGATGTCCGCCTCGTCAAGCATGGCAACTCAAATACCAGAATAGCAGTTGTCGATTGCAGCAATGAAAATTGTGCACAAGATCAATATGTTATAATCAGTAGACAACCAAATGGCAGCAAGGATGCAGCCTTTGTCTCAGCCACTCCTGCACAAGGTATTAATAATGCTCAGTGTGTGAAATATTAGGTTTTGTGATTGGCAACCCACTTTATGTTGTCATGTTTTTTGTTAGCTAATGGTGAAGTAAATGCGTGGGAAGAAATTAGCCAGGCATTGAGTGCAAAGAAGGCAGAGCTCTCTAAAGAGGATGGTTGGAGTCAATCAGATAGTTCAGGTAGGAGCTCCTGGTCCTATAGGGCCCTGAGACGCAGTGCGCTTGGCCCAACTATGGCTTTCTTAAGGGCACAAAATGGGATCTGAGGAACAGCTACGGTGTTGGTTTAATTGTAGTTCCTCGAACGTTTTTGAATCTTTGAGAGACGAAAGGCAATTTTGTTTTGGCTTTTGCTTTTCATTATGTACACAAATGTTTCAAGTACTTCAAACGTTGATGTCATTCTGTAGAATGCAAATGTGTTAGTTTCACCTATCTGGTTATTTTGCTACAGAGGAGTCTTCTTTTTCTAATTTTAATTCAACGAGGACAAATTTTTAGTGGATTTATCCTGTTTATTTATCCGTTGTTAGCAAATTTTGAACATGCCCATCTCGTTACAGACAAAGCCGTGCAAATTTAACAGGTTCATTTGTTGGCAAATTTTTACGTAGAGGCTGTAACTTGAAATGAGAAAAAAAAATTTACAACTTGAAATAAAAGAAAAGATTACGAGCCATAAATTTGAATTTACCAAATAACAATTTTTAAAAATGATCACATGATTCAATTAAATTAAATTTCAATTTACTTTTCCAACACCAGAACTTGGGAATTAGCTAACTGAATTTCACAGTGAACTTTCGGATGATTTTCTACTGATTCATGGTTGAATCCGATTCCAGTCTAAATCACACCTCTATTCATACTTAAAAACCAACAATAGACCCTAATTTTCTGTTACACTCGTGTTAAAGGAGAAATAGAAAACAATGATTTATGAGACTCTTGAGTAAGTGAACGCTTTACTAATGAAAATAGCTTTGATTTTCTTATCAACCCAAAAACCAACACCTTAGGTGTTGGATGTGGTCAACAGACAACTGAAAAACAGAGAAAGACATGATCTTAGAACTGCTTATCGCAACTGAGTATTTACTTCCAATTCCTGTTAGTGTACAGCAGGGCTTAATTTCTTTACCTGTTTTGTTAGACAATGCCTCGGATCCTGTCGATAATACATCACACAAGCAGATAGAAATCTCTTGCACTGCTTGGGATACCAAGTCACCTTTTACTGACCTGCAATTGATCCATTTTTACAACCAATAAGGGCGCTAAAAAAGATTATTAGCAACTTCTTCAAAGAACCCCACATCATGTTTAAGCCCTCCCAATCATTGTCACCCTGTTCAGCCTTCTGGAATGATAAAACAGTTGAAAAGGTTCAGGAACTGCTCCGGCTCCTGGCCTTCTGTAACTATCTGCATGTTGCATTAAAATTTCCACGTTAGAGAAATAGCTCATAATATCTAAAATAATATCTGCCTGTGGAACTTACTCGTCCACACTCCTGTCAGCCTCCCTATAGATATGTTTAACCACACCTCCCCTTTTCCATACCATTTATTTTCTAAACAAAGAAAAAAAAATGATTTGAAAAAGAAAAGTCCAACATATTTTATCGGTGGCCTATTCAACAATAACTGCAACTACACATGTTCTCTGACATCAGTATTCAGTAAGCTTGAACAGCTCCGAACCAACATATTTTGGATGATAGACCAAAAATACGCAGATCTCTGACTCAACCAGTCTAACCTCTAAATCTTTATCAAAGAAACTAACTTCAAGCACAAAAACAATCCTTTCCTTGTTTCTTCACTCTTTAACCGTTACCTTCACTAGCAAAAAATTTCATGTGCTCTGTATTTTCAACACTATCAATTAGCATAACTACTTCTGGCAGTCAGGAATTAAAAATTGTGTATTTGATTGTGAGGATCAATAACCATGTTTGCACATGTAATCTTACTCCTTTTCAATCCCCCGCTTCCTGACAGCCAGAGGTGGGGATTCTCCCTTCTTCAGAGCAAAGGGGAAAAGCATTACATAATTACATTCACGAATACCTCCATGCTCCAAGCATGGTACTCATGTCATTTACATGATTATGCACATCAGCATGAATCACCACAAAATTCTATTGTTCATAAAACAGATCTATTGTATTAGAAGAAAAATTATATAGAAAATTGACATGGATTGCAGCTGATGGATTACAGATTCACTAATACAACCACCCTAATGTTATTCTTAATATTCTTTTTTCTTAAGAGAAAAAGTGATTCCAATTTAATGGCACGTGCAGAATTCCAAATAACTAAGCTAATAAGCTATTTACAGAAACTTAAATAACCACAGATTTTAAAGGAAAACCTATAAATTTCAGAATAGAAGTGCAGAGATTACCTGAATAGAGACATTTGGGGGCAAATCCATTTTATTAAGAAAGTCACGGGCAATAGATTCCCAGCAAGGATAGTTATCCTTGTCTACACCATCGCAGCTTACAAATTGGCTCGGTCCTTTTTCAGACAGAACTTCCCGCCCATGCCAGACATATAAAACACCAGAATGATCACTTGCACCCAAGCTTGCTTCTGGAGCCAACAACATATATACAGCTCCAGGCTCAAGGATGTGAGATCCATGAATCTCCACTTTATTGAGTGTAGGCCACTGGTACAGAGCCAAGGTGGTTACTCCTGAACCCTTCTCAAAGATGCTGCCGAATTGAGGATGACATTCACCATATTCCCTTTTATCTTGAGTCCCACTGTGTGACTCAATGCTAGCACCAATGGCTTCAGCATCTAACATTAACTCTTCCCTATTGTCTTCAGGTTCATATTGATTATAATCCATCTCATTCATTTCATCATCATCCAATTCGGGTATAGCATAAGACCAAGGCCTTACAAGCTTCCTGGGAATTGGTTCATCAACTGAGGGTAACAGCATGCGTGGTGGAGGATGACTCCATCGGCGTTCTGCGATTGAGGGAGAAGTACCTTTACTAGGCACACAAGTATTTGCCACTCTCAAAGTAAGATCAGAAGAAAATGTCTTCGTCGGTGAAGGGAAACTTCCATTACATGGTAAACAAGAATTATCTGGCGAGGAAACACTCTTGATTGTAAACAGGTCACTAGCCTCCAGGGCGGAGGGTGAAGGCTGCCGAGAAGACAAATATGACAAGTCAGACCAATTAGAGGATGAGGGTGAAAAGGCAAATGAACTGGCATAGTCAGATGTTGAAGGTGAAAGTGTAGGAGACTTGGAACTAAATTTTGGGCTGCTAGCTGCAAAACAAGAAAAAGAATTTGGTGAACCGCAAGGAGACCTTGGTGCCAATGGAGAATCAGAAGGAGTAACTGTCTGTTCTACTTCTTCACAAGGATCTTTCCTCCGTATTGGGCTAATATCCGGGAAACAGTCAAAGGAGTCAGGTGAACCACATGGAAAGATTGATGGCGATGGCGACGAGAGTGAAATGTTATCTTCTGAATCTCTATGAACTTCTATAACCGTATCAGATCTATCACTGACTAAAGTCAAGTTACAACCCAGTTTGGATGAATTGAAAATTTCTTTCATGATGCCATTAGCAAACTTCTGCCGTAGCCTACCCCATCCATTTTCTCTGGCAGGAAGGCAAGTTTCTGATTCCGTGGTTGAAATTGAAAAAGGTGGAACAACTCCACCAGCAAGTGCCTTATGGAAAAGTTCAAAATCCAAATCATAATCCTCTACCTTCCTTCCAACGACATAAATTTTATTTGCTGCAGCCATCTTATCATTCTCAGAAGCCAAATTATCTAACTTCCTGACCTCCGCTCTGTCACAACCATCAGCTGAGAGCTGTCCTATTGCAAGGGCATCCCAGAATTCCAAAGACTCTTCCCCTTCTCTAACAGTTAAAATAGGACCCTGCGCGCGCTCATATCGGATAACCTGATTGGCAGCCAATCCAGCACTACTCGACATTGCATGGTTGCATTTCTTTCCAATCCAAACATATACAGCAGAAGGAACATGAACAATGAACGCCCCACGGGAGTCAAGTCCCTGTTTACCTGGATGATTTAACATTTTTGGTACAAGATGAAGAGGATCATACGAGGAGTGCGGAGCCATTCTATACATCCTAAGCATAGAATTCGGGCTGGCAGGCACAGCATGCACCCTCTTTTGGCACAGCAGAAGTTGGAAAGCAAATCCTGTATTGGGATTAGTCACTCCTCGCGCTGCCTTCACATATTGAAACGCGTCCTCAAAGCTCTGTCCTTCCCTCCACATTAGATAGGCAATAACCAGAGAAGTTGATCTTGACACACCTTGGCAGCAGTGCACCAGAACCCTCCCGCCTTGTTCGCGAACATCTTCAAAGTAATCAAACACATCATACAGAATGCTAGTAATATCCTCGGACGGGCTATCTTGTAACCAAAGTGTCTTGTAAACAAGATCATTCTTGAAATACTCAGGACAAACAAAACCAACACAGTTCAATACATGAGTAATCTCATTTTTTCTCAAAATTTCCCTATTCTTAGCCACAGCATCACCCCCTAAATAAATATGATCAGCAATCCTGGAACACTCCTTATCATAGAAAGCTAGCTTATCTCTCCTCAATTGAAACTCCCTACTGGAACCCGGACTCTCAAGGGGCTTAACAGAACCTCTAGGCGTCTGGGGATTAGGCCAAACACCAAGATCATCAGAACCAGCTTTTGGCCACTCTTCCACCGGCCTTCTTGTTATAGAAAGGGGAGGCAAACAAGACCTCCACTTTGTGTTTTGCGGCGGTTTCGGTTTAGGTTTAGTCGGTGAACGGTCAGTCCAAGAAACTGACCGTAGATATGGTTTCCGGGCAGTAGCTGCAGCCACGCCGGCATGCCGGTCTTTTTCTTCTTTGCCTAACATCTCAAATTAAAAAAATTTCCAACCAAAATTCCAAAAAATTAATTGCTATCCATTGAAGGATACTTCCAGGAAAGGCCCTTCAAATGGGAAATTCATGTTCTTTTTTATAATAAATAACCCCTTATTTTCTACCTAAACCCCTTGACTCTTCTCTCTCTTTCGTTATTTTCTAAGTAAATGTACGAAAATTTTAGATAAAGAAAGAAGAAGAAAATTCAAATACGAATATGACCCAGTAAAACTTGTAGCTGGTAGTATTAGTTATGGGACCATTAAAAAACCAACTGCGATAGACAAAAAAGAAGAAGAATGGAAACAAAAATAATTTACTTATTTTAATAAAGTCGAAATTTTTGAAGAGAGACTTACTTGGAGTCTACCATCAAGGAAAAACCAAAAAAAAAAAAAAAAAAGAAAGAAATTATCAGTCATTTGGAAACTCAACTTTGGGCAGCGGAATTTTCGAAAAACTAAGAAACTGTAAAATAGGTTACCGCAAAGACCATTCAACAAAAGAGAAAGAGAGAACGGTCAAACTATCATGAGAGAAAAGGAGAGCGGCTGGGTGAGTTGGTCGTTGCTTGGCCCTTCAACACTCGAAGAAGACAAGGCACACAGGCGGCAATGTAAGCGTTGGTGGTATTTTTGGGCGTTTCAACTAGGAGGTGAGGAGCGGTTAAAAAGAAAAGACAGCTTAAACTTGCAGTCAGAAAAACATAATTAAGAGCGTTTGATTTGAAAGAATTCATATATTTATTTTTAGAAATTTATCAGTGAGTATTTAATTTTAATATTAGATGTAAGATAATTTAATTCGATGAAAGTATCAGATTTTTAACAATATTTAAAGTTTAAGAATTAAAAATTTACTTTTTGTTAGGATTTTAGGATTTCAAAAAAAAGTTATATTTTTTTAAATTTAATTTGAATAAAAAATTATAAAATAATCGTTATTATTTTAAAAAGTATATCTAAAAGTAATTATAAGTCAATTGTAAATTTTTATTGTTAAAAATTTTTTTTATATTATAATTAATGGTGTTTAGTATGAAAAATGTCATAAATAATATTATTTAATTTTTTTGAGATTATTTAAGATATTTTTTGACCAAAAATATTTTAAATAATCACTAATTTTTTTTTATCAGCGATATTTTATAAATAAAAATAGTAATCAAATAAAATATTTATCTTCTTTTATTGTTAAAAGCATTATTTGTCATTTGAGTATTTATTATTAATAAAAGCTAATAAAAAGTTGTTATCATCTATGTAAAAAAGATTAAGGTAATTATTTAAGAATTAATATATATAAATTCTCTCCAATCAAATAAGTGAATCTGAATATGGAATACCCTAAAAATAAAAAAAAAACCCTAAGTATCGTACTTTTTTAAATATCAGACTTTCTCTCGAAATCTAATATTCTGTGAACCAAATGCTCCCTTAAGGTAATCGGAGTGATTTATTTGAGACATACTCCGACATTCAAGTTAGTAAGATATTTGAGATAAAAGTAATGAAGAAAAAAAAAAGAAGTTGAGATGTGTGTGGGAAGATTTAGAGGAACTAAAGCTTAATTGTGTAATAGGTATGAAGTGATTCTCTTTTATGTTTTTGTGCTTCCTATTAGGGCAGAGCATTTAATCTATTTGATTAAATCAGTTGTAAATTTTTTAAAACCAATTTAATCGATTTAATTTTATCAAAAACCAAACTGATCGTTGAAACTAATGTAACCACAAGTAACCAAACTGACATAAGTCATCAATTATGGTTGGTTATCTCAGTTTTGCCCTATCATTCACCAGTATTCAACAATCAACATGTCAAAACAAAACCTTACAACAAAACCTAAAGTAGTACATTACAACAATCAATAATTATATAAACTCAAAAAAAAAAGTAGAACCTTACAACAAAATATTATAATCAATGTTTTATATTAAAACAACTCTAAAGCAGGATAAACAGTACATACAAGTAAAATGAAATCAATAAAACAAATACTAAAACAAAATTAGTTGTTTGGCAATTTGGGTAACTGACCTTTAATAATGAGAAACGTTCAGTCCTTCACCAGTATAAGATTTACTGGTGGAGTTGTGAAAGAAGAAAACCAAACCTGTGGCCATCAGTTGATGGTGGTGGAGTTTATTTATGATTGTTACTGGCTAAGTTGTGATTTAGAGAAATAGAGAAAGAAAAGAAATAGTTAAAACTCAAAAAGGGAAATGGTGAAATGCTGGTTGGTGGTGGGTTGGTTAGTGGTCACTGGCAGACGAACTTGATAGTTACAGGCTACCGACTGTCGATTATGAAGGGAATTGAGAGATCTGTAAGGTGATGAAGGTGTAAGGTGAGGCTGTGACAAACAGAGTAAATGAGAAAGAATAGGCTAGGGTTTTATTTGATAAAATAGGAATAAAACTGTAAAAGATTGAAAAATATTAATAATATATTTATTTAATTTAATTTTATGCAACTCGATTTCCTCAATCAGTTCAAATATCAAAATTCACCATCAACAACCGACCAAAAAAACCATTAAAACCAAGATTGAAATCGATATATGCCCTTAAACCAAATAAATTAATCCAAATTTATCAAATATATGCGACTTTATCAGTTTAGTCAGTTTTCAACCGACAAATGCTCTGAACTACTTTCTATTATCTTATTTATGAAACCATGGGTGATAACCTGACTGAAACAGTTGACAATTAATGGAAAGAATAAGTAAAGATCGAAAAGATCCACGTGAGTGGCTGCGAGTTGCATTTCATGATCTCAGTTTGACGTGGGTTATATTTAATTATCTTAGGCAAGTTCAGAGTCAAGTGTTTAATTTTGATATAATGTTTTGATGGGATGTCACTGAGGACATTGGACGAGTCTTTCTCTTTGTAAAAGGAGAGCCATTCATTTGGGTATTAATGATGAGGCAACTTAGGTGTGCATTGCCTAGGTAACACAAATAGTTGATCGTGTTGACCAACGATTGATCAAGTGAATGGGCATAACAATTGCCCTTTTAAAGTTATAAAGTGACTGCCTTCACACCATTTGTCCAAAGCCTAAAAAAAAAAAAACTATTTGACAAAGAGGCAATTCTGGCTTAGTGAGCTGATTATGGTGATGTGTCCTTGTAAGGTGAGAAGAGTGTTATTGGTGAGCAAATTCATTGAAGTGTCCCTATAAAGCGAAATAGGTGTTCTTAATGAGCATTGCTTATGACGTGTCATTATGAGATGAAATGTATGTTTTTTGGTAAGCTATATGGTTGGTCTAATCACAAGGAGTATGAGGTGAGTACTTAAAAAAAATTTTTGTGAAATTCTAAGACTTACTTGTAGAACGCACATGAATGGAATACATCATGTGGGGCGATGCATGGCACGCGCTCGTATTTTTAAAAGATACGACTGGACATGATACGTGTTACATTGGGTTTAAGAGGTTGTATATGTAATTATTGGGTGCAGTTTTTTAAAATGAATAGTTCTGAAAATGAATGTATATGTTTTTTTTTAAAAAAAAGGTAACCAAATGGGTTTTAATTTTGTATCATTCATAAATTAATTAAAATGATTCAAATAAGTCCCATTTCAAATGTGTCATTTAATGCTTGAAAATTTTTGAATGGGTGCCGTTTTACACATGTTGTTTGGTTGGGTATAAAAAGGGACTTTAGGAATTTTCAAATTTCACATTTGCTTATTACTTTAAAAAAAGATGGTGCTACTTTTTTACGTTCTATTTCTTGCAAATATTGAAGCTTTTCTTCTAGTATTTTTTTATGTAAGGTTTGTTTGCTTTCTTGCTTTCTTTTATTATTTCTATTTAGGTATTTGAGAAAAAAAAAAGAAATGGAATTGAAAAAAAGGATTATGATTGAATGTTTTGATGATAAGAAAGTTAGGGTTTCAACCACCAACACCAGTGGTTAGGCTAAGGAGAGGGTTAGTGAAGAGGCCCAAGATAAGGTTGAGGCTAGTTCGAGTAGAGACTGTAAAAGGATAGAGTAGTGGAGGTTATGGTCGCGGAATTGTAATTAGTGAAGTTAGAGCCCTTTTAGCTATTCTCACCGTTGCAAATGGAAAGGGAAAAAGGATTAAAAAAAAAATGTGTCATAGTGGATGAGCTTAAGGATTTGGCTCTAAGTTCGTGGCTACTAGACAAATATTCTTGTCATACATCTTGCTTTATGATGGAACCGACTTAGATCACGTAGACTTCAACCTACAAAATCCTACATATGAGGTTTCTCTACTTTTTTCAGGGTTCACAAATCAGCCAACTAGAGGAATTTGAAGGGATGGCAGGGTTCTACTTGTACAATTTCAAACACGGGCTCCATTTTTTCTTTGAACTCATTTTTCCATTTGTTGTTAGCCACTTTTAATGTTGCAGTGAACCAACTTGCTCCTATTACGTAGTCGATCCTTGTAACATATCTGATTTAGTACAAGATGAATGGTTAGATCCCTTTAATGAACATGATTTTAATGTTTTACATGCTGAGAGAAAATAGGGACTAACTCTATTACCTTCAAGCCTGTGGCAGGTTTTGCATAGTAAAATTACCTTTAAATAGCCATTTTGATCATAATGTGGTGGTGTGCACCAAGATGCTAAGCATGAAGTTTTTTTTTAAGGTTAGGTGGTTCTATGCCAGCCCTCTAACCAGAAAGGTTCCTAAGTTGAGAGAGGATGAAACTAGGCAGGTTCATACATTAAGGGCTACCAAAATCTCCTATAATGAGTTGGTCACATTAGAGAACATTCATGAGTATTACCATATAAGACCAGGCCTTGGTTGTTACTATCAAAAGGTCTTGGATGAAGAAAAGGCTAAGAAGATATATGCAACCAAGGATAAAAAGGCAAGGGTTTCTCATGGCAAAAGATGTAAGTTTACAATTCAGTCATTGTATTCCTTATTAATGTTGGTATAAGTTGAGTTGCTTATTAATGTTGACTTATCTTGTTAAGGTTGGTGTGGCTATTGATTATTTTTTTTTTTTGTGATTTTTGTCATTATTGTAGTGAAAAGTAAGGCTATAAAGGCCAAAAGACCTTAGGCTTTCTAAAAGGACCCTCTTGCTAAAGTAGTAAAGCTAGTCCCTAAGATAATCCTTATACTAGCTTTTACATTAAGGGTTGAAAGGGAGCTAGGCATGATGAGGACAATGAGGGAGTAGGTATTTCAAGATACAGTGGCCTCTTAAGGGTAATTCTTATTTTGGTGCTTAACTTTTCTCCTTATTGACTGATTTTAATTGTTATGCCTTTGTTTTGTGTAGATGGATTGTCTGCTAAGTTGTAGAAGGTCTTCAACCAAGAGAAAAATAAAGGTTAGCGACTTATGCATGCCAGCCCTTTTTAAACAAAAAGACAAGCAATAGGCAGTCTCAGTGCTTTAACTTCTACTATTATGATGCTTGCACCAGCACATGCCCCTACTGTTGTGGTACCCACTCCTACTACCACAAAGATGCCCATCACCATTCTTATTCCACCACATTCTACAATTCTAGTAACTGTGCCCCAGTCTTCAACAACCATGGTTGCATCTACCCTTACTGTTACTTTTGCACCTCCATTGCTACGTTGCCTTCTCCACCATTCATTGGCACCCCAACAATCCCAATCAGTTCTAATGCTAAAATGCCTACCAACGAGTAGCTGAGGCCAATTTAAAGGCTA